AGAACAGGTTACGTCACTAAGTAGGATATCCTAGTTACATATAGCATGAGCTGCTAAAAGTGTGGGGGGAAAACTGAGTTTATCCATACCAGTAAGACTACCAGGCAGATGCCTGTTACTCTCAGGAATAGTCCAGCTATTATGTTCTCTTAGTAGAATTCATTGAGCGCCCTTTGGACCTTTGCAATGAGGAGAAATCCAACTTGACAGATGAAAAGAGGATGAAGAAAGTGACTTATGGCCAATTTCATTAAGAGCAGCCAAGCATTCTAAGTGGTGTTTAATGCTAAGAAACCCCCCCCCCCCGACTCCCCATGTAAGGTGATAGGTTTGGCAAAAGAGGCGTATTAGTTCAGTAATGATGTACTAAAGCCATTTGTATTATGAGACCAAATATACCTGGGATCACCATAGATATATGTAACCAAATACAGTTGTAAAATAACTTATTAAACCTTGGCATGGTTCAGACCAAGTGAGCCATTTATTTTTGAGAAAAAAAAACAATTTAAAAATACTTGGTATATTTGCTTTTTTCCCCCTTAGCTAAATTTTTCCTAAAATGTTCTCTCAAAATTTCTGTATGTCTGTATTCCCCTAGGCTTGGTGCAGGCGTGATTGGAATTGTCAATATACCTTTGGAGGTCATGGAACCATCTCATAATAAGCAGGAATTTCTCAATGTCCAAGAATATAATCATCTGCTAAGAGTCCTGGGACAGTTCTTGGTCCAGTACTGTAAGGACACTGGGATCAGTGAGTATCAGTCATAGTAAGAACTGCTTCAAGGGGATTAACTTGCGTGATCTCTTTAAGCTGAAATGATTATACTCATTCAGGTAACCACTAACCCAGGGGTGGGCAAACTTTTTGACTCGAGGGCCACAGTGGGTTCTTAAACTGGACCGAGGGCCGGAACAAAAGCATGGATGGAGTGTTTGTGTGAACTAATATAAATTCAAAGTAAACATCATTACATAAAAGGGTACGGTCTTTTTTTCAATAGTTTTATTCATTTCAAACGGGCCGGATCCGGCCTGCAGGCCGTAGTTTGCCCACGGCTGCACTAACCCTGAAGGAGAGCTGCATTGAAAACATGAGGGAAATGAGAAGGGAGCCAGTCTCAGAATCTCTCCCATAGTATTATGCGAAAAATAACAAGCAGATTAAAATTGTAATTGGAGGGCAATCAGAGAGCAGTATGAAGTGGCAGCTGACTATGGAGGAAGGAGTCAGAAGTTTGCTCCAAATAGGCTGAGAGACGCCCAAAGTGTGTCTCAGACTTTAATGTGTAAGAGCACGCAGCCCACCTAGAGCTGCGTGGTTCCTATAGCATTGTTACATGGTGCCACGGAATAATCATTGTGGGCCCTGGATAATTGTAGATATGTTAAACTTTGTTTTGTGTATCTAACAAGTCTTGAATACATTAGTTTCAGAAAAATGTTGGTTAAAAAATCACTAAAATAAATATATTTCGATATTTAAAAAGATAAACTTCAGTTATCTGGAAAATTTGAATTATTCAGATCGCCTCACTCTAGAGATACTTGAACAATGAGGTGGTGTGCTGTGCATTAATTAAATCAACTTCCTGTAAGTTATGCAGACAGGGCTTCATTTATGGAAACAAACAGAAGGCTACTGTGTATTTGTTCAATGATTTGCATGAAGTATGTATAATTCATGCATATCAAAAATTATGTCTCTGCCTTTGAGACAATTTAAAATCTTATTGCTCCACTTGAAGTTGTTATTTTAGAATATTTTATTTTCTTTTGTACCCACTCTGCTTGGTCCTAAAAGTTTCTCATACCAGTGAAACAAGAAGTAATGCAGGAACTTAGGGTGTCGGGGAGGTGGGGAATAAAAATGAGAATGAACTTGAGGGCACAAATTTCCTGCCAAAGCCAGATTTGCATGTGTTGGTCTAAAACCTGCACAGAGTGTGGTCTGTGGACCAGCATCACCAGCATCACCTGAGAACTTAATAGAAATGCAGAATCATAGGCCTGCCCTGGACCTACTAGGTTAGAATCTGCATGTTAGCAAGATCTCAGGTGACCTGTATGCACATTAAAGCTAGAGAAGCACTGCTCTGAAAAGTACGCCATGTAATTGTTGTTTAGCATAGGCATACTTCTTTCACATGTATTTTTTTCTCAGACGTGCTTGAAGTTATACTAAACCTAGGAATGACCACATTATTTGACAGGGTTTGCTGAAAACTATAGAATGCATAAGGTGAAGGGATTAGCCAAAAAACATGTATACACACACACACACACACACACACACTCACACACACACACACACAAACACACAGATGACAGTGTGGTGACAGCCAGAGGAAAAGAGGGTGGGATAGGTGGAGTTGGACAAAGGTGGGAGGAATGGGGAAGGGAAGAGACTGCCTGTGCAGATAATGTTTTATTGAGTTGTACACTTGAAACCTGTATGGTTTTGTGAACCAATGTCACCCCAATAAATAAAATTTAAAATAAATAAACAAGAATATACAGAGTGCAGTAAAAATCAAGCACCTACTTTCTGGTCTTTAAGTGCCAGCATGACATAGTACAGAAGGAAAACGTTAAGCATTTGAAAATTGTGTATATTTTCTCTGAAGCCTCTCCCTTGTTTTCCTCATCCTTAAAATAAGGGACTAATTCTTCAGAAAGAGTTAGACATTGACATTTAAAGGTGACAGGGATTATCTCCATCCAGGTCACATTTACTGAGGACAGTCATGTCAGCCCTGTGGGGGAAGGAGCTTTCTTGAAGCCCCTTTGCCTGGTGTATGTGTGCCCTCCTGAAAATTGTACTCTCTACTCCAGGCTATCACTTGCCAGTCTTCTCCCCTTTTGTCTACTCTTTAAGTAACTCCCTATCTCTACCTTGTCTACCTGATTTTTTTCAAAACCTTCTTGATGGATGTAATAAGATCCAAAATAAATGTTATATTTGTATTTTAATTATTACTTGGTAATAGCATATTATTTTCCTAATCTCATAATTGTCTATGGATTGATTTCGGCTCCAGGGTGTTTTCACAAAAGACGTTCCTCTGGAAGGGAGGCAGAGTGGAGAAAGGACAGAGAGCATGTGCATTTGTTCACATTCTCACAACTTCATCCCAAAAGCTCATTATCACTGAGTCAAGCAGTCAAGGTCAGAATAGGTAGTCTCAGAACTGTGCTGAAGAGATTGACCTTCAAGGTCTTTGCCTAATGGTTCCCATAGGAATAACCAAAGTGTTATGTAATGTTTGCCTAATACTCTGAAGGCCAGTATTATAGGACACGCAATTTTAATGAAAAATAGGTTGGATAGGGTTTTTGCCTTATAAATAAAAGATGCAATCTTTGTATTTGCTGTAAATCTGATCTGTTTCTATGGAAAATTGGGCGTGTGCAAAAAATGGAATGGACAGAAAGGGCAATGGAGCGGTAATGACTTTGTGTCATTTATCTGATCTGCATTTCCTTTTGGCAAGCTGATGCTAAAGGTCTCAAATATTTCCTTCGTCTCTGAGTCGACCTCACCTCACTGTCTGATTCTATGTTTTCTGAAGTTTTATGTATCCTTATAGTAAAATAGAAATATTAATTGTCAGCTTTTTGGAGTATGGAGAGAAGAAGGGAAAGATAGAATCATCAACTGAGATTTGAGTTTGAACAGAAGCAATTACATAGAATTTCATTACTAAACTTTTCCAAAATAGGTCAAAATAATATTCCTAATTATGCTGTCACCTAACTCATCAATTTCTCAGTTTGTGTATAATTTTATACACGTGAACTATAATATTAGCTAGATGAATAGTTTCTTTAAAAATAGATAACACTTTATGTTTTAGCTTGGGTTGCTATAATAAAATACTAGTGGTTTATGAACAACATGAATTTATTTTTTATAGTTCTGGAGGCTGTAAGTTCAAGATCAGGGTGCAGGCACGGGTGGGTCCTAGTGAGACTCTCCTTTGGTTTACAGATGGCTGATACCTTGTTGTATCCTTCTATTCTCTCTAAGCACCTGCAGTCCACACTTCCCTGGTGACAAACATAATATAGTTTGTGTGGCCCCTTGTAGAGCACGCCCACTTCTGAGAACCTGGACCTCCCACACTTTATTACCTCCCAAAGGCCCCACTTTCAAATACCATCACACTGAAAACTAGGTTTTAACATAAATTTGGGGGGGGCATACATTCAGTTCATAAACTCTAGTAGCTAGATATAGCTAGCTGCTCACAACAAAATTTAGTTTATCTTATGATTGTACTTTAGTGTCTGAGATCTTATAAAGCCACTACAAAAATACCTTTCTGCTAAGGATATAAGGCCTATGTAAAATATTAAAAGGTGAGAGAGACTATGAGACAAGTTTACATGAAGATATAGGCCAAAAAACAATTCATATTTCTTTATTATGTATTTTAATTTTTAAAATATTGTATATTTAGTATTATATTTTTTATTTTTAAATTTTTCATTATGGTGTTAAGGGCTAAACTGTGTCTTCCCTGAATTTACATGTTTTAAATTCATATAAATTGGAGATAGAATCTTTAAAGAGGTAATCAAGTTTACATGAGAGCATTAGAGTGGGCCCAGTGCAACTTGACTGGTGTTCTTATAAGAAGAGGAAATTTGGATACAAAAAGAGACACCAGCAGTGGTGTACACAGAGAAGAGACCATGTGAGCAAAAAGGTGGCCACCTACAAGCCAACGAGAGAGGCCTCACAAGAAAGCAAACCTGCAGACACCTTGATCTTAGACTTCCAATCTTCAGGACTGTGAAGAATTAAATTTCTGTTGTTTAAGCCACTCAGTTTATGGTATTTTGTTATGCAGCCCTAGCAAACTCACATATGTGGGAAATTGCAAGATTAGACAGAATTAAAGAGAACATTATAATGAAATCTATAAAATCATTTTCCAACTGCAACAATTATCAAGCCCTGGGCACTTTTTTTTCATCCATATTCCCAACCTATTTCTCCACAACTGGATTATTAAGGAAATTCCAGACACTATATAACTATACCTATATGAATTTTAGCATGTATTCGTAGAAGAAAGAACACTTTGAAAACATAACCATGGTATAAATATTATACCTAAAAGTTAATACTTCCTTAATGTCATAAAATAGCCAGTTTATTGTTTACATTTCTCATTATTTGTTGTCATAATTTATAGCGGTCTTACCCATCCCCATATTTCCCTTTCTCTTTTTTGTTTTTCCTTGCAATTTGTAGGAAAAACTGGGTTGGTTATCTTGTAGTTTTTACAGTTTAAATTTTGCTCACTGCATTATGGGCTGTAGTTTAACAGATTCTTCCATTCTATTTATTTTTTGTACATTTGTAGAATACATCAGCTTGACCAAATTCAGATGTGTGTGTGTGTGTGTGTGTGTGTGTGTGTTGTTGTTGTTGTTGTTGTTAATTCTCACCCAAGGATATTTTTCCCATTGATTTTTAGAGACAGTAGAAAGAAGGGAGGGGGCGGGGAGAGAGAGTGAGGGAGAGAGAAACATTGATGTGAGAGAGACCCATTGAGAGGTTGCCTTCCGCATGCCCCCACAGGGGCTCTTTGGTGTTCAGGCTGATGCTCTAACCATTGAGACACTGACCAGGGCTTTGTTGTTGTTGTTGTTGTTTGTTTGTTTTTTGTCAAGATGCTTCTACAAGGTAGTAGCATGTTTTTCCATAGGAAGACATATATTGTTTGATCATCTCATAATTAT